ATCTGCAGAAGGTGAAAGCAGAACCTATTTTTCATACGTAGTGAGTTAAGCCTAATTCTTCTATTTGGAAAATGTGCCTGAATAATTTAGTCGTTGCTAAGGTGCACTGATGATAGATATGGCTTTGAGGTGTGTAAATAATTCTTAACTACATGGTTGATGCATACTGAAGAGAATTTGTATCAGTTGTCTTAGGGATATACATTGTTACAAAGGCACCTTAACTTTCTTATAGCTCTTTCCTTTCCCACCTCATTTATCTTGTATCTTTTAAGTAAAGGAACAGATAAACATAAAATGTAACTGTTTTTGAAAGGATACAAAAAACTCGGTCATGTTTTTATTATGACTGCTTTTCCCTTCCTCGCCAAGGTGGTCACTCTGACAATATAAGTGGGTTGGAAGTACTATTCTTTTGTAAATGACATTCCCACAGATTCTGTAGTATATATGATTTTTGAGAGGCAAACATTTTCAGTTTAAGACTTATTGCCATAGTCTTCTAGAAAAAACATGAGTGCAACCATTTACAGGAGTAAATTATCCCTATTTACCCAAAGAAATGGGTATCAAATAAATGATTTATTTAAAAAAAAAACCTCTCAAATGATCACATTAACAGTTCTACGCAGTGTGATTATATTTGGAAGGTCCTTGAGTGTATACTCAGCAAATCTGCCCTTGATTTAGTTACCTGGTAAAAAAGAAGTTAATGGTTTATACTGATAATGGAATCTTAAGTTTTTTTAACAACAATTTCGGAGCAGTTGGAAAGAAATCAAATGCTGGTATGAAAAAAAGTATTTTTAAAAGTCAGTCTTCAATACAAAAGATGAGGAGAACATGTTATTTTTGTTCTGCTTGACTGCAGTGTTACTGTAGGAGAAGGCATGCATAACCAAACTTGTCCATAAAAGTGTTTAATGTACTTGGAAAACATTAACTTCTTTTCATGGCTGTACTTGTATTGTTTCTCCTGTAAGCCTACTGCATGATTTCATTATGGGATAGAATTCCACATGTTTGTTTTATACTTTATAACTGTGAAAATAACTGTGTTTTGAGGTGGTTTTGTTTGTTTAATTAAAATATACCTCCCAACTTCCTGGATTTTTTTAGGCAACAAGCTTATTTTAGGGAAAGGGGAAAAAGTATTAAAGTATTGACTTGTTGATAATGTTAAATTGTCTTACAGGTTTTTTAAAGTTTGGTTTCAATTCTGAATCAGCCTCCTTCCTGAGGCTACAAACAGGAACTGACATTTGCATGTAATGGCTGGTTCTGGTTGCTCAGGGCTGGAGGGTGATTGCTAGGGCTTAAAAGCCCTAGTCTTAGAAGTGTAAGGCTTCTGGTTGTGCTGGGGATCTCAGTGGCCCCTCTGCTTTCCCCAAAAGCAGTTGCCATTGCAGGTTCCTTCATGTGCTTCTACATGTTGCACTGGGGTCCATAAGCCATTCCAATAATCTGGCCCTATTTAAAATACAGCTTTAAACACAGCTCACTTATGGATGAAAAGTCATGGAGCAGATGCCAACAACTCAGCTGCTCATCTGTCTCCTGTTCTCCTTCCCTTGCCCTTTAGGCTAGGGATTCACTATTTTTTTCCCTTGCTGACACTTGCTGAGCATGTGGCATGCTGAGGTGGGACATGCAAAGTGGTGCGGGCAGGTTCCAGCAGTGTGACACCTGTAACAGAGCTCCCTGAGAAGCTCACTTTGCACAGTGGTGCTCAAGGCCATGAAGGTGGGAAATAGAAGGCGTGGCTTTCTCTGCTGGGGACTCCAGCTGGAGGCAATTTCCTAGGGCTTGATTAGTCCCCTTTGAGCTCCCATTGACTGATGGCTGTGGTGTCCAAACACTCAGCCATTTGTCCCTGTCTTGGCACAGCTCCTGTGGTCAGCTGGCTTGGTCAAGGACAGCCTCAGCTGGGGCTCTTTGGATGCCATAAACACAAACTATGAACTCTGTGTTCCTGGTGTGATTTTACATAAAATGGTAAAAATAAAGAAATTTTCATTTGTGAACCCAATGCAAACTGGTCACACTAGCAGGTTTGAATTTCTCATGCTGAATTTCCAACTTACTGGGCATATAACCCAGCATCCAGCAGATCACCTGAAAGTGTCAAACCAAAGGTAACTGAAAAACTAGCGCAAGACTATAAATTTCAAACTAAGCACCTCTCATTTTATAGTGAACTGCAGTATGTAAATATGTGTTACTATTGGTTCTTGGATAGCTTAGGTTATCCAGGAGACAGGCGCTGGGCTTCCTACAGAGGGACCATGATATGAAATAGACCTGTAATTGCTTGTGCTACTATGCACAGTCACTTAAATAAAAATCATCAATTTGGTTTATTCAGGTAAATTTTTTTTCAGGTATAAGAGTTTTCTTGTTTTGCGGGTATTTTTTTCTTGTTTTTTCTGGATAGCAGGCACGTATGTGTATAAATGTTATTGATGCTATTTTATTGGCTTCTGCATTTGAGGCTCAAACAAGTGAGTAGCAAGATCTGGCTATATTGTAACACTTGAAAAAATAATGTTCTGCCGGAGAGGGATTAGGGTTAGGTATCAAAATGTCTGAAGGGTTTCCAAGTGTAGCTCAATCTGCAGCATGTTCTGCGCTAGGGCTTCAGGGGCTGAACACTGTTTGTTCCTTTTCTCTGGGTAGATCAAGAGCAGAGTTCTGGAGACTCCTGTGATTGTTGCTCTCTGCTGAAGCCTGACAAAGTTTTAATACAATTAAGGCATAGAGAAAGAGAATAGTAGAAGTGTAAGATAGGTTGGGACTTATAAGTAAAAGGGTCAAATAGCCTTTTTTCCTAGGAATGCAGAAATCTGTGTGCTGAGACTGTTACGCATTGCAATGTGAACTGAGCCTTGAAGGCCAGTCTTTGAAGCTTTGGATCTGGCTGCCAAAGCATTCTCTCTCATCTAGTGGCTGGCCCACAGTGAAGGATAACCTTCTACTTACCCATCAGTGGACTAGAGGGTAGAGAGCTATTTCTGCAAATACTAAGCAATTTTTTTGCCTGAGCTGAGGTGGAGAGTGTAGAAAAGACTTTGTAGTATAACTCATGTAGTCACTTTTTGGTGAAAGATGAACACAGTGCTGAATAAATAGTTTAAAACTAAGCTGCTAGAAAATTGGAAAATGTGAGATTGAAGGCTTCCTCTACAATCATAGCTTGCTGTCAACGTTTTGTATACTCTTGATAATTGGATAACTGTATGTTTTATTTAACAGTAACCATTCCTGAATTAGCCCATTTTCTGCATATTAAAAAAAAATAAAAATACTATCATTAACTGCAGACTGTATATCAAGAAAAATTGCAGAACAGTAGGAGTGTTCGGTGTTTTTTATGGAAATATTATTTGTAATTCTCCTAAAGATGACCTCTTTTTTTTATCTCCTCCTTTAAAAACAAAACAAAAGAAAAGAGCCAGAGAAAACCAACAGCTAAAACCTCCAAATCACACCTTTTCTGAGGAAAAAAAAGATAAATAAAAATGCATGCTGGCTAAAAAATTAGTCGTGATAGCTTACAGTTTTGATTTTAGAGAATATACAATGGTGAACTATCAATTGGCTGACAAAACACCTCATGAGAGTATTGTTGGAAGTGTTGAATGCTAATGTGTGTCTGACTTCTGAGCTGTCTGTGAGAAGGCAATTGTTTTAGCTGCTTCTGAGTATAGTTTACACATAGTTGAATGAAGATGGATCACTGGCTGCTTTGCAGCCCCAAAAAGACCACTTTATACAATTTTACATCTCATGGCTCTTTGTGCCTTTCATGTATCCCTTTCAAAGAGATGTGTAGTAGATGCAATGCTTTGGTATTATAAGTGATTTATTTTTTTTTCCTAAATTGTTCCATTTCTCTAGCTGCATAGAAGAAAAGCCAGCCTGTGTTTTAAGGCAGATACACAAAAAAGGGGAGATGGCAAACTAGTACTCATATAGGTGCCATCTAGCTTGGCCAGCAGTCTATGCAACACTCGTATTATGCAAGTCCCTTTGTAGCTGTCCCCTTATAAGTGAGGTATGGTTTGGTAATTGGTATGGTAATTAACCTGGAAAACTATCCTCTGCTTCGCTTGCCAACTGGCTTTAAATGCTGTGATGTTAATTGGTAAACTGATCCAGTGAAGAGAGCCTTGAAATGTTTACAGGCTTGTCTGAATTTAATTCACCTCTTATTTCAATGAATGCCTTTTTCTATTTCATGGGATGTTCTTTTGTTTTAATTTGTAAATACTGGTTTTCAGAGTTTTGGTTTTGAGGAAGGAGTTTTTTTTTTAAAAAAAAGCCTAAGCAACAAAGTAACTTTTATCTTGTGGCATGTTCTTCTTTGGTATGAATTTCTGGCTTCATGAATTTATGTATGATAGACTGTAAAATATTGACATGTTTTAAGGTTAGTTCTGCTTGCCTTACATATGGTGCTTGTGTATATATTCCTGAATTGGTGTTACTTGATAGAACCTGATTTGCATTAACTCAAGACTGTTTTGTCAGTTGAGAGTAAACAGAATTATTGTGAAATTTGTATTGTAAATGCAGAAATATGTAGGAAATGTAAATGGGGTAATGTAAGGGGTTTCCTAGTTACAGATTATTAAAACTTGTCTTGACATTGTTTTCCTACTTTATAGTAGCTGTTTGGGGTTTTTTACTTACTTAAACTAAGGCAGTGGGTCATGCCTAACCTTGTATAGCATTTACCATTGCAATGCATAATATGTATTTGTTAGAGGGATTACCTGTGATTCTCTTGATAATGTTCACATTTACAATGAGAGCCCCTCTATATTTATGCATTTACATTCTGGTTTACAACAGGTTAATTTTACACCTTATTCTTTTCCTATAAGAAGCATTTGTTAACTTGGGGTATAATGAGGTCTTGGTGATGTTGTGAGTTACTCTGAAAAGCTAACATAGAGAATTATAAAAACTGTCGTTAAACATAATTTTTTGTTTTATAGGTTATTCAGCAATAGTTATGAACTCCCGTTTACGAGCCTTAGGTGGGAGGATAAATAACATACGAGCATCAGAGCTACCAAAAGAGAAAACCCGATCAGAAATAACCTGTAACGTCCACTTTTTGGATGGCTCAGTACAAAGCTTCAAAGTCAACGTAAGTTCGGAAAACTACTTTCTTTTTAAATACATATAAATTTGTTTGAAAGCTGCAGATGAAATATGGGACCCTGAGGCATTGTATCTCCAAAAGATGTTGAAGATGTAGCTTTGCTGTAACAAATTGCAGATTTACTGCTTATGAAGTGGGTTTTAAAAGTGCTGTTTTAATTTACTTTCAAGCCAATGGACTTCAGTGTCATAAAATCGTGGCATGCAGATTGTATCTGGAAAAAGGTCTTCTATATGATACAGTAACCACAAAGAAACAGATCTGGTGATCATTATCAACTATGAATAAGTAATTCATATTTAAAGGGAGCTCCCGAATTGGGAGCTTCAAAGGACTGGTAAAAAGGGTTCCTCCTGAAAGAAGGAGGCCTTATAAATTCCTGTGGTGATGTCAATACATATTTACAGAAATGCAAAGATGATGTAAACAGTGAAGACATTGTGGCTCAGTAGGACTGTTCTGTTCAGTCTTTTGTACTTCAGTACAGTCTCTTTATTTGGGTGTGGGGAAGGAAATGGGATTAATGGAGATTTATACTCTGTATTTTTAGTGTATTTTATTCTCCAAGGTTTAGTACTTTAGTACTAAATACCTTTAAATACCTTTAGTACTGATTTGAAATATCCATTCATTTTTAAATGAAAACAAGGGAAACAGCTTCGCTTCTCAATCAACTTTCAATAGAATTATCTGACCATGAAGAAAAACTGTGAATAAATTTAAGTAAATTGTGTGTAAGATTTGTGTGTATTTCTTTGTATGATACTTAATTTATCCAATTTACCTTGTTTGACAAGAAGCATTTTGCTGAGGAAGCTGTATTGTTTAGATGTCTTAGATTACATGGTGCTTTCTAGTAGGACATTTAAAACTGCACACTAAAGTTCTATTTTCCCAAGAAAAATCTTTGCTGTGACAGTGGTCAAGCTCTGGGTTACCCAGAGAAGTAACAGCCATCCCATCCTTGAAAGTGTTCAAGGCCAGGCTGGATGGGGCTTTGAGGAACTTGGAGTAGTGGAAGGTGTCCCTGGCCATGGTAGGGGAGTTGGAACCAGATGATCTTTGAGGTTCCTTCCAACCAAAACCGTTCTATGATTTTCCAAAATTCGGAGCCCAACTGATTTCTCTCCCTACCTTCAGCATATCCCTAGGGTACCACTGCTCGTTACTTCCTTCATCCAGGGTTTGTAAGGGCCTCCTTTACTGCAGCTGTGATGCTGAACCTCATAGGGGTGATGTAGGACTCATTATTGCTCTACTTAAGAGGAGCAGGGAATGTGGCTTCCCCACTGTGTTATGGACTAAAAAAAGGAAGAGTTTTCACAGAAGATTTATGGTCTTTGAGTACTGAGCTGTCATGCTGGTAATGAGGGAGGCAGCACTTTTCTTAGAGGATGGCCCTTCCTTGAATATCTAACCTTGATATCGGCCTAAGAATAGGCTTTGCTGCACTCTGGTAGTGTCATAAGGGCCATTTTTCGAAAGGGTTTGAAGCTAGCTGCAGAAAATTTGTATCCAAGTTCTGCTTACATTAGCAGAAAAATTTAGCTTTGTGAAGTTTTTGCCTGACTCTGTGTTTGTGTGTTGTTTTAATTGCCGACATATTTCAGTTTTATGTTTGTGAACAAGAATAACTCGGGTCTGTGGTCATTCTGGAAATCAGCTGGGCATGTACTGAAGGACAATAAGTTTTGCTCTGAACAGATTTTCCCTTCTTGTGAAGTCTTTCTCTGTTGCTTTAGAGAAACTGTTTCTCATATCAAGATGATTTTCTCCACATTTAATTAATTTCTGGATGACATGTTAATTAACAGTTCCATATTTTAAAGAATCACATGGCATAATTTCCCAGAAGACAAATTAGCAGGAATATATTAAATGATGTACTAGTACATTATTAAAATGAAGGTGCTTTCTGAAGTGACTAGACATAGATACAAGACACATGGATAAAATACTCACTATGTCTTGTGGATATTGTAAATAAGTTTTCTAGGTTTTTTGCTTTCTCTCTTTTTGCAATTATTGGTGAAATATGTTGAACTTTTCTCCTCTGTTAGTTTGGAGAACTAGACCTGAACAGGATCACCTCTTCTAAAGCATAGAGTTCAGTGTTTTCTCTTTAAAAGAACTTCAGTATTACCAGTGGAAAATTAAGACTGGGAATTCTTCAGGATTGTTTGTGGTCTAGTTGTACCTGGTTCTGATCTGTGAAGGCTCGAAGTTTGATAGATGTTACACTTTGAACTAACATTAGGCTAATATTCACATATACATAAGTATGCTTTATGTTCATTGGCATATTGTTCATCAACAAAGAGTAGAAAGTAAAAGTGGAAAATCAGAATACTTGAAGCTTGGCCTTTGTCCATTTAATAGCATAAGTGGAATTGGAGAGTTCTCTGAATTTAATGACAGTGGAATGAAAACAACTGAGCATTGCTTTATAATATAGCAGCTCTCTGAACACAGAATTCTTGCTGCAAAAGGATTTCTTTCCTTCAAAGTCATAAGGAGATTATATATAAAAATAACATTAAAGAAAAGAAATGTCATGGGTAAGAAACTCAAGATAAATTTAAATTATAAATTTAAACAAATGGATATTCCTATGTTTCTATTTCTGTTATCTTGTTGACAATGTGTATATGCTCAAGACTACAAAATGTTAGGTGGGTTTAAATTTGATAGAAATAATTGATTAAATAGTCTAAACTTAAAACACTGAGAAGAACTTACATATTTTGGAATTTTGAGCTAGTTCTAACATCTTTAAAATGATGGTAGTACATTTATGGTATCTCAAAATACTGGATCTTTCAGAGAGCAGGGAGACTAGAGATAAAACTTTCTTTTCAGTCTCTGGAAACAAGATCTTTATAGAGCCCACAGCACTGATTTTCATCAATATTTTTTTTACCAAATGTCATGGCACTTTTGTAGTTATACCTATAGGTTTCTTTCTTCTTTGTCATATGATACTTCAGATGTTTGTTTTCCCAGTGGTTCTGTCTGTAGGAGGGTGAATAAAAACTAAGTATTGTAAAACTGGACAAAGGAAAAAGGAAGGTAGATTTTGCATATGAATATAACCAGAGGAACTTTCTCTCTGTTGAGAAACGTGAAGGTAGCTGCATAATTTCCTCTCTGAAAAATTGTTCTTATTAATCACTTGCCCAAAAGAATATTGGTATCCTGTATCCTGACCAGCTGTAAATGAAGGCTTATTTGCAAGAGAGCAGTGCTGTTTTCTTCCTGGACTTGTTGCTTTGGCAGAGTAGCAAAGTGATTGGATATTTTGTTCAATGTTTTTATTTAAAAGTGTTATACTACAGTTTTGGTGAATCTGAAATTTGGATTCATGGTATCACAGGGAGTTCATCAGCATAAGCTGTGGTATGTGCTGGTTTTAGGTCATTATTATCAAGAAAGTTCACATGGGAGTACAGACAGACACATTCCGCTACATTGCTTACAGTCCAAAGAGTATGTTAACTATGCAAGGCTGAAATGGCCTTTCTTGTTCCACTGTTATGTGTTTCAGTACTTTGATGGAACATGTCCAAAATCCAGGCAAAGAATAGAAGGTGCATGGAAGCTGAGAGGTGGAAATATTATTTCCAAACCACATTTGAGACTAAGACTTGACTGCATTTAGGCCTGAATGTTGCACCTGACTTTAATTACATCCAGGCTTTCTTGAAGCCTCACAGTAAATTTTGAGTGTTTCAGTTTTATGGTAAGGTTAACTCACCTCTGTTCCTAATGTCACTTCTGTCATGTTTTAAGACTATAATGCATAGGCTTTTCACCTGGAGAAAATATTAGCTGTCATTCTCATATATACAGAATTTTCTCATATACCATGTTTGAGTATATTTAATAGGTATTTATTATATTATATATATTACATTGTGTAGTAGTGCAAATTCGTCTGTAACTTTTGAGTTAAACTTAAGAATTTTCTGGTTTTGCTCTACTTTGGCCCATTTACCAGGAATGACCACTTGGGAAGCATGTCTCTCCAGTAAACTGACTTTTGAGAAGGGATAAAACTGACAGAGTCAGATCATTTCTGAATTTCATTGTCTATCTGAGTTAATGCTTTTGTCTTTATTACTGTGATTTTTGCTTTTAAACTAGTTGGCTATTGGTAATAGTTTTTTCTTCTAGAAATGAAAGAATGAGGCTGTAATAATTCAAGAAGTTGTATGAATTAAAGCTCAAATTGTAAGGAATGTTTTTCCTTTCCTTCCACCTCAGTTAAGTTTCTTCTTCCAGTATTTGAGAAGGAATATGATTGTTAAAATGAACACCTACAGTTACAATCGGTATATTTAAAATAATGGACAGAGATACAAGTCTTAGAGGTTCTTTTTGATTGTGGGTGTGAGTTTTATAATTTTAAACAACTCATAGAAAAATGCAATGATGCAGAATTTTTGTATGTATGTCACCAAGTTTTCTTACTCAGTATTGTTTAGTATTGTTTGATAATACAAAATGGTTCAATGCTACTCTGTGTCCCTGAATGTTGAAAGAACTGCTGTATGAAGTTTCAGGCTGGCAACAAATATTTAATTTTATGTTGAGACAGGTCAGTGTACTCAACTGGAAAGCAGTAAGACAGTATGAAATTTGATGATGCCTTTGAGGACAGTGAGAAAGTGATCTGTCCTACAGCAGGCTTGTTAGTCTTAGCCCTTTGTGGGGCATGACTTCATAATAAATGCTGAAGAAAAGAATTAGTGAAGGGTAGATTTTTTTCCAAAGTTAGAACTGAAATGACTAACCTCATATATATGTTTGTTTTAAATCATTTTGTGAGGCAGAGGAAATGCAGTGGGTTAAAACTCTGTCCTTGGATAAATATTTTGTATGACCTTTATACAGGAAAATACTGTGCTAAAGTGTATGGCATCTAGAAAAGTTATGGGATGGGTCAGGAGTTGGCTGAGGAGGTGGCTGTAGATCTTGGTGAAAAG